ACAAACTTCTTTTGTTGTATGCAAAGACTAGAATTGTTCTCTCGAATTCCCATAGATTCCGCTATGTGTTAAAGGCGGTTTCCAATTCCATTCCAAAGGTTCTTTGATGGAATATGATAGATAACTTTGAAGGCACTTCTTCTACTGTCCACCTGGTGACAGCTGTCATCAATCAACTGAGACAAAATACAACTTCTTATAGATTTTAATTGGCCTTCTCCAAGCTGTGAAGGAAGATGCTCATTAGTGCGTTTGTTGAGCTGTCTAGTTGTTCACCCTATATAGCTTTCTCCTTAGCAGTAGCTAAATTCGTTAATACACATAAGAGAGACACAGCTAGACAGCAGGTTGTCTTTCGCTTGAGCAATCATAACTGATTGGCTGGGAAATGACAAACAAAGGGTGGTGGCAGTATAAGTCCGTTTTATGCCTCTAGACAATCCTATCCAGGTCCCCATTCAATTCCAGTTTCAGGAACAGTTGTTTCTTTTTAACTGTTGTCGGTTTCTCTTTGTTATACATGGTGTTCATGTGTCTCCTTAGAAATCTACTAGGATAACCCATTTGGACCAGCGTATTTGGGATGTATCCCACTTCATTCTCTTGAGAGTCAACTGTACAGATCCTTCTTGCTCTGTTCGTCAGGCATCTGACCAAATTGGCTTTGCATTGGATTGGTACAAAACTGAGGAAATGTCTATATTGTCCTACAGAGGTAGATTTTCTGTAGACATCTCTCTTGACTGAACTATTTGGTCTGTTCTGCTCAGTTGGACATCAAGGAAGTGTAGTCTGCCATCACGTTCTTCCTCACAAGTGAACATGAGAGATGGATGTGCATCATTAAATTTTATTAACATTTCATTCTTGTCAGCTTTCACATCACGAATAATAAACGTATCATCAAAATAACGAAAATAAGAATCTGTTTTATCTATTTCTCGTTTCAATGAACCATTTTCAAGCTTAGCAAGAAAGAAATCTACCGAAATCGGACGCAGTGGAGAACCCATGTCAACACCATCGATTTGTCTGTAATAAAGGTTGTTGTTGAATGCGAAGTGTACATTCATAGTGCATCTTATTTGAGGTAGCTCATTCAGACTAATAATTGGAATTCCGATGTCCAACTGCTTTTATAATATCTGTTTATACATATGAATTCCACAGTCTCCATAAGTGGTACATTGGCACTGGCTTCCCATTTATGTTGACATCATGAATTCAAAGACATCTTTAACACTATGATTTATCACATTCTTCTCCAGCGGTTGAGGGAGGTCACTCAGCCTCTTTAGAAGTGTCTATGACTGGGTGAAGAGGAGTTCCTGGTTTATGTACTTCTGGCGAACCATACAATCGTGAAGTATTACTTCCAGTAGGATTAAGATGGTTGTAGGCTGTCTCTGAGATTACTCCACTTTTCCTCAGCACCTCAAGCTTGTTCCTCGGTGCAGCTTTCCAACTGCTTTTCTGTCTAGATCTGTTGAGTTGTTAAGCTTTTGGAATTACAATTTATCGGTTAGAAGCGAGTTCATTTTGTCAACGAACTCCCACTTGTATTCATCATTACTGCTGCGGCTACTTTGTCAGGCTTGCTGATTATAATGTTTTCATTTTGACTTAAAACTTAGTGAAATTGAAAAGGTACTTTAAGTACAACGTCGACATCTCGGAGTTTCAAAATGAATACACAGAAATCAGCTACAACAAGTAACAACATATATATTTCACCATATTACAATGTTGTTAGAAAATGTGAGACCCTAGGTACCATGTGGGTGTGGTGATAAGGACATAGGCTTTGGCCTGTGTTAAGAAACACACCCGAAATTAATAGTGTCATCCTCCGGTGCTTAGAGGCATTACACCAGAGGTGAATGACACGAACATGATCGACGGTTTTCCGAAAGATTTCATTTCAATTCGGTTAAAAATATATCCAGTCACACAGGTTCGAAACCAAATCACAATCACATCATTACCACCATCCATCCGTCTAACTTGCATAACATCATCACAGTAGAAATTACACAACGCTTCGAGGGAAATCAAGTATAATTTAACCACAGGAGGAATACTGCATTCGATATAAACATGTTTACACCATCAGACTTACCCTGTGATGAATTCAAGAAGTTAAGAGAGGGTATAGATGAAGTGCTCGTGATGCTGGTGAATATTTCAACTGCCTATTGGGTAATGAATTGTAGTAAATGCTTCCACTTTTTTCATTGTATATCTCATACTACTTACTACTACTCAGTAGTGTGACAGTAATTAGGAGATTAACTGTCATGTAGAGTAATCAAACATTCATCTGTGATTAATACGCTACACTTTACAGTATCAATCCCACTGTCATTTTAAATGTATCTTTGAATACTGATCAAGTACCTTGATGGTATCAATATTGTAGAAAGTCGTCCACTTCATTGCTTACTGAGGCTGGTGCCCCTCAAGGCGCTGTTCTTTCTCCCTTTCTGTTTTCTTTCTTCTTAAATGACTTGCCTCACTCTGATGAAATGAACTTTGTTAAGTATACCGATGATCTAACTATTTCAATGTCTGTTAACTTCCAGCTAGACTGTACTAAGATGAACAGTTTTCTATCAGGAGTCAGCAAATGGTCTTCGTCTAATGGTCTTAAACTAAATTCTTATAAATGTCGGACTGTTAATTTCAGTTTCCGATGTAAAAGAAAGTTAAATGAAGCTTTTAATCCCTATGACCGTTGCGAAATTGATGATAGTGATATAAAAATCAATTCTGATGTTAAGTATCTTGGATTAATTTTTTCTTCTGACCTATCCTAATCTTTCTATGTCTTAGCGATTTCTAAAAGAATATCACGTTGGACACTATTACATTAAGAAGATAAGGCACTCAGGCATAACCCAACCACTCCTCCTCTTACAGTTTGTCTACTCGTGCATCTTACCTATTCTTCTTTATTGTTCACCCTCATTCTTTCCTGGATTGCTTAAAAAGGACTATGTCATACTTCGTAGAACTCTGAAGACTGTCAGTAGGACGAGTGGTATCCCATTGAGCCATATCGTTGGCATTGTCATTGATAGGCATTTGATGTCTTGCAACAGATTCGCTAGAGGAATTTTGTCAGACTCTGAGCACCCACTCTACCCGCAGCTGCAACCATGTGTCTCCTCAGGTAAAACAAGAAGTCTTTCCAGGAGAATTTATGCACGTACGTCTAAGTATAAAAATTCCACTATACCATATTCGGCGGCACGTACTTTATGTGATGAAAATAGCGTCAGAAATGAACTAACTAACCATGTTAGCACCACTAAATAAACCATTTTCTTCAACCTTAAAGCATCGTACTTTATTGTTATTGTATTTCTTATATTTATAATCCTTTCAAGTTTTTCGTTTTGTTTATTTTATTTTTCATAAGTGTGAACATCATTTAAGCTGTGTTATAACTGTTATTTTTGTATTTCCCCTCACTATACTATATCAACAGAACATTAGATCCAATGATCTATAACATGCTAAAGTTTCCAAACTGAATCGACTATACCGTTTGTAACAAACTCACTGTTATTATTATTTATTATTCTTATTATTATATCTAATAATTATGTCGTAAATGTGGACAAATTCCTCCGATTAATTTTTGTTTTAATTTTATATACATTTTGAGTAAATCAGATGCAATACTGTGACAAATACTGAGAATTCCATTCTGTATTATAAGTACTCTTTTTGGAATAAAGTAAATTATTATTATTATAAAAAAACTTGTATTCTTTTGATGTGGACTCCTTATTCACTAATGTACCTCTACTTAAAACAAATGGCATTTTCTGTGATCACATTTCACCACACATAATTTTCTTGATCCCATTCACTGCATCTTATTAAAAGGGTCTAGTACTTCTATGTACTAGTAATGTTAATTTTACATTTGAAGGTGACTGCTTCCATCAGGTTGATTGTGTTGAAGGCACTTTTAGTAGACATGTATAAGTTGAACATTGAGAGTTTATCGGAAGATTTAATCGAAGATGTACCGGTTTATAGAAGATATATCGGTGAAATTGTAATCATAATTGTTGAGCCTTGTTCTGCCACTTCAATTTTAAACCGAATGAGTTAAGTTCAAAAAATAACATATCATTTACGTCTGTAGCCAGGAAAGATAATTGTTTATCTTTCCTAGATACATCACTTAGTCGATGGACAGTCTGATGGATCAACAAAATGATGTATTTATAGAAAATCCACCTAGACTGGAGAGTATCTTAATTACCACTGCTTCTCTCCCATTCGGAATCTTAGGGAGGCGTTTCTTCAGCAGAGTGCAACCAATATGCATGCAAGACATACTTGAAGATGAAGAGAGAAAATTAACACAAACTCTGGTTGATAATAATTATCTTGTTAAGTTCATAAGGGTGTCTAAAATGGTCAGCGGAACATCAAGACTCATTCTCCAACTCACCATTAAGAAGCATGGATATATCAAGCTACCGTATATGGCTTAATATAGCAGCTTGGTAAGTTAACAGAGACTGAACGCTGCGGTTGAAAGCTAAGATCAGAATAATCGATAATGTAAGGACCATAAATCCACTTAAGCAAATAGAACATACGAGAAATGGTGTCCAATCCCACTATATCTACCAATTTAAATGTAAATATGGCTACACATATGTGGGGAGGAGGTAAAGACTTCAGAGTATAATCTTAAATGGCTTCAGAAGCAAATAGAATCCTTTGAATCTATTAATTGTGAAGACAGACGTATTGGAGAGACAGGACATAAAATTGGTGTGTACACCTCCTTTATTCAACTTATCTATAGAAAGTGTTTGAGACGTATCCTAAAGTTTGTTGAAGCCCTAGAAATTAGGAAGTTTAAACCACCTTTGTGTATTCAAAGAAACAATTCGTCATGACACTAAACCACCTTCCTTAGTAAGGTTTGTAAAATTCATAAAGAGAGCTAATTATTTCAAATCGAATTATTACTCTCATATAAATGTAGAACCTGATGAAGAATAAGCTAACAAAAAGAATATTTCTTGTTCATTAAATAATTTTTACTAAATTTACATACTACTTATATTTGATAAAAGTAGCACGAGCAATAATGTTAAATTATTTTAGTTATTTCTTTCTAAAATTGTATTTATTATTCGACGAACACTTTACTAATTAAAAAATTGTATTCTTGTAAGATGTTAAATTCATGTTATCTAATTGATATAGTAAGCACGATAATGCTTTGAATCAACAAGTGTTACAGTCTTTTCACTTGTCTGTAATACTACAGTACATAATGTTGGATGACGACTTGCAATATCCAACGGTTTACTTTCAAATTGTTGTACAGCATCTGTTTCACCTGGTAAATTCGATGTTTGACAAGCCATCACATAGACATCATAATAATCAACATCTTCAACAAGTAGTGGACATATTGTCTCAGGACATTTTATAATACCGTCCAATAACCAAACAATTCCATCTCTTGCATGCAAATTCCAACGAATCACTTTAGGCTAAAGTGTAATACAAAAATAATAATAATAATGATAATGATAAACAAAGGTTAAATGGTAACAGATGAAATAGTGGTAGATGATACTTGTGTGAAGGACTCAAGTTTAATAATAATAATAATAATCTCCTTTATTCCAAAAAACAGTATTTATAGTCCAGTATGGAATTCTCAGCATTTGTCACAATATTACATCTAATTTACTCGAGATTTAAATAAAATTAGCTACAAGGATTTGTCGGATTTCGCAGATGAAATGTGTTTACTGTGACAAAAACTCGGAGACTTGAAGCTGAAAACCAAAAAACTGGCTGAAGATGCAGACAGCTAAGAGAGGACTCCAGGTGAACACAGAGAAGACTGTGGAGATGATGAAGATAACCAACGAACCACAACAACAACCTGCACCAAACACTATCAACGGGAGGAATTTAACAGAGGTTACCTTTTTCAATTATCTTGGATTATTATTATCATTTCCTTTAATTCCTAGAGGAACATAGGACTTCAGCCAAGCGTCTCCATTGAGTTCGGTTCTCTGCTACAGTTTTCACCTGGCTCCAAGTATGCCCACATGCTTTCATCATCTCCTATTCACATGACCTCCTCCAAGTCACCCTTGCACTGACGACCAACTCGCCGCTTCCCTTTCGGATTCCACTCGAGTGATGGCTTGTCTAGTGATGTCACTTGATGGTTTGTTTCCTCAGAGTATGGCCAACCAATCCATCTCCATTTCTTCCTGTCTATTTGTTTCACAATCGGTTCCTTGTTGGTTCGCTCCCAGAGATCCCTGTTGCTGATCTTTTCTGGCCATCTGATCTTAGGTAGTATTGAGCGAAGACAACTGTTAATGAAGGTCTGTAGTTTGTTTGAGATGCTCTTTATGACGCGCCAAGTCTCTGATCCGTATAGTAGCACTGACTGACTTCACATTGGAGTTGAAAATTCGGATCTTATTTTTGACGCTGAATACTGTTGACCTCCCTACAGACTTGAGAGTAATGAAAGCTTGTCTTGCTTTTCCAATTCTTGTTTTGATGTCCTCATCAGTTCCGTCCGCCTGCCGTTGAGATCGTACTTCTAGGGATAAATTATCTTGGAAGCCAGCGTCGTTTCAACTACAGGCGGAACGGATGAAGATGTCAAAACTAGTCAGCATCGGAAAGGCAAGATACACCACTTTCATCAACTTGAAACCAGTTTACAAATCTCTTGCACTTAGCATGAGGAACAAGATTCGGATTTCCAACAACAGTGTCAAGTCGGTCCTTTTATACGCGTCAGAAACTTGCACTGCGTTTGATTCACGAAAAGGATTTCCTACAGTCTTCTTCAGACTTTCATCAACAACTGCCTTCGCTCGTGGGCTCCATACTGAAGACCAAATGAGCAGAAAGGATAAGCAACAAGAAGCTATGGGAAAAAACCAACAAGCAAGAGCCTACGGCTTAACAAATATGTAAGAAATTTCATACATTTATTCCCCTTAATGAATTTGAACAAAGCAAGAACTACAGTTTTAGCAGAATAAAGTGGTACCATCTTTTATTTCGTTGCCTTCCGCAGGCTGAGTACATCACTAGCCATAGCCTATCCTGCAGCTAAGCTCGTCCCCGTCTATCGAACAACTTGCTATTCGGTGCAGTCGAAAATCGATAGATATCTTTCTCATGTTAACTCCAACTGTATATACAAATTTACGTGTATCTGCGGGAGCAGTTACATTGGAAGGACAGAAAGAAGGGAATATCAACGATTTTCTGAACATGTACCAAAAAGCTTATGTCTAAAGGGAACAAATGCTTTAAACAGTGCCACTGCCAGGCATATCCTCAACACGGGTCATGAGGTGGACGTCGAAAAGTCGTTCAAAATAATCAATAGGCAAAAGAGTTCAATTCTCCTCAAGTTTGCTGAAGCCATTTCCATCAAGTGCTTGAAACCTGATTTGTGCGCTCAGAAAGAAGCGGTTATCAGTCTTTCTTTACCCATCCTGGTAACTGGATATTTTTCATCTCTCTTTCATCTGAATGAGAAATGCTGAAAAGTTTCCATTGTGTATGATTATTATTTTTCGGAATAGTGTTTAATATTGCATATATATATATATATAATTGCTGTATGCGTATATTGATCGATTGATTATTGTGTAAAATGAACTCTGTGCAAGTATGTTAAAATTGTTTCTGTAGATATACTTAATCATGTCTTTGCGCTGTAAGCAGCTGATGAGAAGGCAACGAGATAAAAGATGGTACCACTTTATTCTGCTAAACCTGTAGTTCTTGCTTTGTTCAAATATGTAGGAGAAAGTGGAGATGGATCAGACATACATTGAGGAGGCCGTCGAATGACATCTCACCTGAGGCCACGTTTCGAGTAGAATCCAAATGGAAACTGATATGTGGGTCGTCAGTGCTAGAGTGACATGGAGGAGATCGTGTAGCGAGGAGGAGATGAGAGATTTTGGTCAATCGTGGACCCAGCTGAAGAGGACAGCAGAAAAAAGAACGAACTGGAGGTGTGTTGTTGAAGGCGTATGTTCCACTCGGATCCCAAGGGAATCATAATATAATTCAGGAATTTGTCTACATTTACAGTAGAAATACTGTCAAAAATGCCCAAAGTATAAAGTGAGACTAATAACTCCAATAATAATAATAATAATAATAGTGGGTTTGTTTCAAACAATATTGTTGGAACGGCATGGAAACGTTTAGCGCTTTATAAAATACTGAATCTAATGTTCTCTTGATATAGCATAGTGAACGGAAAAACAAAAAATATTACTTATCACAGAGCTTAAATGATGTTTACGCTTATGAGAAAATAAACAAAAAAACGAAAAGGATGAGAGGATTATAAATATAAGAAGAACAATAACAATAAAGCTTGGTGGAATAAGGATGGAGAAAATGGTTTATTTACTAGTGCAAAGAAGGTTAGTTAGTTAGTTCGTGCCTGACACTATTTTCATCACATAAAATACGTGCCAAATATGGTATAGTGGAATTTTTGTACTTAGACGTACGTGCATATAGTCTTCTGAAAAGACTTACATCGAAAATTGAAATTAACAGTCTGACATTTGGAAGGATTTAGTTTAAGACGATTAGACGAAGACCATTTGCTGACTCCTGATAGAAAGCTGTTCGTCTTAGTACAGTCTTAGCGGGAGTTAACAGACATTGAAATAGTTAGATCGTCGGCATACCTAACAAAGTTCATTTCATCAGAGTGAGGCAAGTCATACAAGAAGAAAGAAAAGAGAAAAGGAGAAGGAACAGCGCCTTGAGGGACACCAGCCTCAGTAAGCGATGAAGTGGACGACTTTCCCTGACAAACAGTGTACTACTTTCTTCCTGAGAAATAAGAATGCAGCCATTTGACAACCCAACAGTCAGTTTGAGTTTCACTAAGCTTATTTAACAAAATGTCTCAAAGTACTAAGTCAAAAGCAGATGTGTAATTATATCACCCAGATGTTCAGAGAAACTAGGCGGAATAGGACATCCAAGTGGACAAATAAAAATATACAGTCAGTCAGGATTATCGTAGGATAAAGATAAACTAGGGATAATTAGTTACGTGCGACATGGTTGGGAGCATTCGGCAGGAAGTCGAGGACACGGGTCCCGTCCATTCTAACATTTAGCAGCAAGACGCATCTGCAAACTTTAAGGAACCTATGTTCTTTCTGAGATTTGAACCCGTATCATCCAGTGCGGCAGTCAGAGACGTTAGCGATTGACCTCCGATAGGACTTTAGTGGTTACATTAATTAATCATTAGGATGCAATACAAAATCGAAGACTTACAGGCGAAAACCAACAAACTTGTAGAAGAAGCAGGCAGTTTAAACAGGACTCCAGATGAACACAGAGAAGACGTAGATGATCAACATAACCAACCAACCAACCAACAACAAGCAACAGTCACTATCACCGGAGTAGATTTGAAAGAGGTAACTCCCTTCACTTATCTAGGCAGCATCGTTTCATACACAGACGACAGCATGGATGAGGATGTCAGAACCAGTCAGGATGGGTAAGGCAAAACAGGCATTCATCCCTCTGAAATCAATGTCAAAATCTTCTGCACACCGCCGGGGAATAAACAACAAGAATCAGATTTTCAACATCACAGTTAAGTCAGTCAGTTAGTCAGTTCTTCTAGATGGGTAAGAAATTTGGCTGGTGTATCAACTAAGGCATTATCGTAATATATGTGTAAAACTTGGGCACTGTGGTAGTAAGTAATTCCATATTAGTTTGTTTACTAGATGAATCACTCAGTCAGTGAAACAGTATTATTTACTGGATGACATTTCAAGCACAATTTAATATTGTTCATAATCATGCCAATTGTAATCACACGACTTTGAAACTTGAGTCATATAGTTTTCTTTGTCCTCTCCTATTTGTCGCCATTAGGGTAGTAGAATTTTCCAGACATCAGACTGGACAGGTGTTGAATCATTCCTATTACGCGTATTTGCAGTTGATTCGATAAACAAAGCTTCTGTTATCAATCTCTCCCTCCACCCTGCTGCAACATTAGATTTCAAAACTGTCATCCTATCCCATCCTATTGTATGGTTGTGTGTAATTGCACGTGGCGAGTGCTATAGCTGAACTATTCTCTAGGTTTCTTATCTTATTCGGGTCAACCAATCAAGATTTTACTAAGTTTTTATGCTCGGCTAGTCTGACTGCCCCTGCTCTACTACTACGACCTATGTATTTGACCTGATAATCATTCCGGCAGGGTGTTAGATAAACTAAATTGTTTTGTTTTAAAGGTTCCACAGGATTGATCCTTTAACCGATAAAGTTTGTTTCCAATTGAGTTTGTGGGTTTAAATTCCACTTTTATTCCTGCCTTGTTATGAATTCTGCGTAAGGTTTCCGAGGTTCCTTCCTTGTATGGAATTACTACTGATGATTTAGATTCCTTATTGTTGGTGTTGTCTTGCGCATGTTTGACATGCATTTCATC